ACCTTTTTATAAGAACAAACGGGTTATAAGTAAAGTTCTGTAAATAGAAAAAGGATTATTAATTGACTTTTTTTTAAATACTGGAACTTTCACTACTTGCTGGAATTGAGTTTTAATTTTATTAGCTAACAATTTGACTTTGTTTGTTTTTGCAGCAAAGAAGGTAAAGACTTAGGGACTTGTTTTTCTCGTCATTTCTTAATTTCTTTTTCTTTTCTGGCTTTTTCTTGCCATTCTTGAATGCCAGGCATTGTAGTATTGATGGCCTCTTGAATGTTGGCTAAATATTCTTTTTCTTCTTTTTCCAAATCATTTATATGTTTTTGACAATCAGCAATTTTTTTTAAGTATTCTTTTCTTTTTTGGTCTCTTTCAAATAATTCCTTAGAAACCAACTGTTGAAGAGGGTGAGTATAATCAGCAGCTACCATTTCTTCAATGATTAGATTTAGTTCAACTGGTAATTTATTTTGGGAGTAAAATTGTTTTCGTCCTAAATACTCTCTAATTCAAACTGGTTGGTCTAGTACTAGAGGTTTATTAAGCTTGCTAACTAGTTCTCATTGTAATTGTCTTTTTCAGCTACTTCTATAGACTCTGTTGCTGAGTTCTTCAGGTTCTTTCAGAGATTTTTTAAACTGCCATTGTAGTCAGCAAAGTCTTGGTAATTAGTATCACAGTATGTTGCTTTTTGCTTATTATTTATGTTATTCATAATAAGTATTTTTATAACTTTTCAGTTCAAATTTATATATTTTTTATATATAGAGGTAATCCTATATTAATCACATTATGGTTTATATTCCTCACCTTCTGGTATGATAATAATAAAGGGAACATTAAATTTAACAACTCCATAAGTTATGAATTAGCACCATTTTACTTTTCAAAATGTCATCAGTCATGCTGGTTAATTTTACAGCCACATCATAATCAGCCTCTCATTTTAGAGAATGTTCACTTCGTCTTAGTCTGGTTTTGTTGCAGTCTGCCCCATATTATTATTAACCCAGGATTGCATTGACTATATCATTCTCATCTTATCATAAACAGGATTTTTTATCAAAACAACCGGCGCGAAAAACTGAAAGCAGAAATGAGAAAACGTAATATTTGAAATGATACTAGTTAATTATTTGGGCCAAGTTGACAAATTGATTTGAATTTTTAGTTCCCAGAATAATATGTCAATTTCATTATTATAAAGTCAGTTGAGAAGAAATAATATTAATATTGCTTGTCGAAATTTGCGTTTTTTATAGCGCGTTGAATGTCAGGCGCGTTGCATTAACCAAGTCTGATAATAAAGGTTTAATCAGTTGAGGTTTTCAATCTGATGACGCGTACATATTAATGTTGGTATTACATAACAATTTGACTAGTTCACTGGTTTGTCATTCTGAGCTGTTGTAAAGTTGTGATTCTATATCTATACGGATTGACGCGTGTATGTTGTATATCATATTGTACAAAATGTTCAGTTACTTTTGAAAAAGCATAATTGAAACAATAAACCAGTAGCATTAAAAAAACGCATTGCTATTAATAGAAAACGTAGCCGAGCACTTTTTGACAGAAAGGATGAAAAGCTTATGGGTTTCAAAATGCAGTTATTTGTATTAGAAACATGCTATATCACAAAATTAAAGCTTTTAGTGATTACTCATATAGTGTTATTGTTAAGCTGAACTGAAACGAATTGTCATTTTGCGTAACTTAAACTGTCTTTAATTTTACCTCAGTTTAGATCTGACTGAGCTGAGTTTGAAACTGAGACAACTGAATTTTGGGCTGAGTTAGCTGAGATTATAATCGTTTTATCCATTTAATTGGTTTCTGAATAATAAGTTTCAACTCTACTTTTTGAAATTAAAACCCTTTTATAACCTTTGTCAGATTTTACAGTCTTTTACCAAAATTAGCTAATTACCTTTGATTGTCAGATCAAAGCCAAAGGTTCCAGGCGTCAAAAACTCTAATCTTTTGCGAACAATCATTATGAAAAGTCGACCATGTAATAACATAAAATGGCGTAAGATCTCATTCATTCGAAATGTAGCCGTTCAAAATGCACTACATTTCAACATCATTGTGCTTGTCAGTCACAATAGACTAGAAACAAACTATTCTTTAGTTATGTTCGTAAGATTGTATGCAATACAGGACTTACAAATTTTCGAATCTTATAATTTACAAGTTCTAACACTCGAGGTTGAAACAAGTTATATGATTGCTTAGATATAGAGTATAAAGTAACTTTATCACATCCTTCCTTTCTTTTCAAGTTGAATAGCAAATTTTCAGTTATTTTCTTTCTTTATGAATCTTGCCATATTTATTAGCTTCCCTTTTCCCTTCATAGTTATTTGTCGCTTATGCGCATAAACAATTTGTGTTCTTATACAGTTAAATCTTATTTAAATAACGATTGATGAGATCTCGTTTCCAACAATCGAGATAATCATTCCAATCATCGTCTCTGATTTCTGCAATTTGCTTAATTGAAATTTTAGTTCTCAGTACTATACTAAAGCCCACCAGATCTCCCACATCCAAGATGCGCTGACCAGATTTGGCAGTTTTTCGTACAGTGTCGATGTCTTTAACGTCTTTGAAACGATTCCAGTATACAGATGTCTTTTTCTGATGGCGACTTAGATAGTTGTACGCATAACCAACATTTATCCACGCAAGATTTCTCTCAAATACTTCCTCAGCTTTCGATCCTTTTTTGAACCGCTTGCCAATTTTTTCCAGATTTGCTTGCAATACCCTAAAGGCGTTTTCGTTGTCATCGAACGTTTTCGCGAATAGCTGAAACGTCGCCGGGGGTGGTTCCTCGTTTATTGCATTACTTCTTATCGCCGTCAATATGTCGTCTGCTTTGTCAATTGCGGTTTTGACTGGACTGCTTATTGACTTGAAGTAGGCCTCCCGTCCTACTACTCGATGGCCGAGCGTTTGATTATCGTGCGATGTGGATGATGTAGAAGAGGAGATGTGGGCGGTGGTTGAGCTCAGTTGCCATCCATTAGCCAGAATGAAACTGTTAAAAACACTAAGGGGCTTCTCGTACAGATCCGGGACCCAGCAGCCATCAACGTCATAGTATAGTTTGCCATTTTCGATTTTATATAGAACATCGTTGTATTTGAACGAAATAAAATCAGGAAAGGTTATAACATCACACAAATCCATTTGCTGCATCACACAAAAAAAGGGATTGAGCGTCTATATATCATCGACAACTACGAAACAGGGGAAATAGCTAAACTTGCCGTTTATAGCCTTTGCGTATAAATGGTATAAAAATAAATGTACCAGGCCGCGTGACACAATAAGTTATGGCTTAGCAATAAATAAAAAAATTTTTTTTTCTTTGCATATAATGTGAAATTTATTTATACACATATACGAATATACATAATTATAAGATACTTTCTGTGTTCGTAGCGCAAACAGAGGTTCTAGAATTGGTATGGCGGCTTGGAATCAGCAAAAGTAATAACAAACAACCAAATAAGATTAGGCCTGGTGCATGCAATATAACAAACTGGTCAATTCGTGTGTAACAATCAAACAATACCCCGCACCGCTTCTCTTTTTAGTTTCCTTCTTCTTCTTCTTCTTCTTCTTCTTCCTCCTCCTCAAAGTATAATTGTGCTGATTGTATACACACTCGAATTTGATATTATGACGAGTGCTGGACACGTACATTGTTTTGTACATGAGCATAACATTTCACCCAATTCAGATAACAAGAACCCTGATTTAAAAGATAGGTACGTCTGCAGTCTCTCAAAATTGCATCATGTCTACCAATCGCTGGTTTCTGAAGAAAGCTCGATCATCTTATTTACAAATAGCAGCAGTCATTAGGAAACTATGATGCGAGTTATCGTTAAAGAAAATGAAAAAATAGTACAATCTAAACAAACATGCGTTAATAACATAGATTTGAGCCTGGAGTATCGACCAGTCTAGAAACGATTTGTGATAAAAAAAAATGTGATTAAAAATCGGAGAGAAAATTGGATTTAGTTAATACTTGGTCTAATAATACAAGTGGTGTGTTGGCCTTATTTCGGTAAATTAATAAGGGTGTTAGTAATCATAACACAAGTTCGAAAACACTGCAGCTTCTATAAAAAAAAGGTGATAATCTCCCAAAGGTAATGCATTTTGTGATTATGACTTTTTTTTCCTGCATGCGGATAATTAATTTGCCCTGTGTCTCCTCACTTAGCAGGCTGTCTGTCTTGTTTGGTATGTTACACAGATTTTATAGTTCGTCATTATGGTAAGTGGGAAGACGAGATTCACACAAAAGTTTTGCTGATTCGATATTAATATATATGTGTGCAGGAGAAAAGGGAAGAGCAACATGGTGATATTTTTACGTTGAAATAACGAGCCCGTCAGAAATGCGACCAACTTTCAAGAAGCTTTGCTTTCCGTTTGGAAATATCATTTTATGCACACTTTT